CCAGCATGAATCATTAAGGTTCTTCCTGCCTCAATCAGTGTTCGATTTCTTCGTTCAGCAACTCCATTTTGCTGAGGTGTGCGAGGAGCTGAAAAGTTCTGCCCAATGCCTGTATAATCACAAAATTCCTCAAGAGTTGAATTCCGGAACTCAGTGCCATGATCACTCCTCAGCTGCTTAACTTTGAGACCAGTCAGTGTCTCATTTTTACGAATCAGCGAGATGATTTCCTGTGCAGCATGACTTTTCTTCTTCAAGAAAACCACCCATGTAAATCGAGTAAACTCATCCACAACCACTAGAGTATACTTGTTCCCTCCTTGGGAACGAACAGGAATAGGTCCAAACAAGTCCATGTGTAATAAATGAAGAGGAGCTGATATGCTGGAACATGACTTGGGTTTGAATGACGACTTGGTTTGTTTTCCTTGTTCACACGCTGAGCACATCTTGTCTTTGACAAAGCTGAGTTTTGGGAGACCTCTAACTAGATCTTGATTGGATATTTTGGATAGATTCTTAAAGTTCAAATGAGAGAACCTTTTGTGCCAAATCCAGCTGAGATTGGTTTGAGACTTTGTAAAGAAACATTGCATCAGCGCCTTGTCACTTGAGAACATGTCAAGAACATATATATCATCTTTTCTACTTGCTGAAAGTACGATGTTCTTGTCAGTGTTAACAACTCTTCCTTCCTTCTTTGTAAAGTGAACTTCATAATCAGCATCACACAATTGGCTGATTGAGATAAGATTGTGTTTGAGACCCTTTACATATGAAACGTTCTGAAATACCACGTTATTGCACTTGATATTTCCATATCCTTTAGTGAACCCCTTTCCATTGTCTCCGTATGTTACTGCAGGACCAGTTTTCTTGACATAGTCTTCCAGGAGAGACTTGGATCCTGTCATATGCCTTGAGCAACCACTATCTAAGTACCAAAGATGCTCCTGACCCTGCAGTGCTGAGAAACTAGTTAGAACACACTGACCCATTGGAAGATGGGTCATTCACAAAGTTATTTGATAATATATTATTGCATTCTTTAGGAAGACAGTTTAAAGAATTTGATTTAAGAGTCCATTTTTCATTTCTAACTTTGATGTTATCAGCTCTTAATGATGTTTTATCAAACTTGCATTCACTGATTTTGTGAGTCGAGTCACCACACCTGTAGCAAATTCTAGTACCAAAATTTTTCTTGGTAAACACATTTCTAGATTTGACACATTTATATTTGAAGGATTCACCGAGAGAACTTTGAGTCCTTTTATTTAACATTGAATTACTAAAGAATTCAGTGTCAGAAGAACACAATCAGTGATGGGTGAGGAGCTGACATCAGTATCAGATTTAGACTTATGTACTGAAACACTGCAATCAGGATATTGTTTAAGTTGTTCATGAACAACATGAAACACTCCATTTGAGATAGGAAATGCAATAATATTTTCAGTGAGAGAAGTTGGTCTCACAAGATGTGCAGGATATGAAGTAGGATCAATTCCAGTAATTTCAATATTACACTCAGTAACACCATTAGAGTCAGTAACACAGTGTTCATCAATGAGAGACTGATTAATAAAGGTGTTGCTGACAAATGTGTTTTTGAAACTATCTTTTAATTCATTCATGGAATAAAATTCAGATTCTTTTTCTTGAGATTTGAAAACGTTTTCAGCTTCAGCAAAATTTCCCCCAAGGATTTTCTCACATGAATGAGGTATTTGAGCAGAAATAACATAATTATCATTCTTGTGAGATTTAGCCCAAAGTTTTAAAACAGTTTGTTCTTTGTTCAAGAGGTCTTTAACTTTATCAATTTCAGCAGATAGTGAGGAATTTGATAAACTAGTAACTCTTAGATTTTCCTGAGTAGTGTCAATAATGTTAATTTTTAAGGATAGTTCAGTTTTAAGAAGATCGATTTGATTTTGCATATCTCTAATGGTTTGATTCTTCTTAGAATTAAGAACACCCAAATACTCAAACATTTTGATTTTTTCATTCATTGAATATGAAACAAAGTTTTGAACCTGATACATTGAAGGAGAATCAGTGTTGTGCTTCCTGGAGTTTTCCACTGCATCAGATATATCAGCATCAAATGAACTGTTGCTGATTTTACATTCATCAGTGTCTTCTATCTTGACCATCAGACACTTAACTTCATCAGTCTTCCATTTTTCTTCTTCAGCGACAAGAACTTTATGTTCCAAGTTCTCTGCTTTCAGTTTCTCAACCAGCTTGTTGTACTTCTGCTTCCAGTATTCATCCGAGCTTTGGGTTCTTTGTTTGCATTCTTTTGCAAAATGATCAGTGCTCCCACAGTTAAAGCACTGAGCTTTCCCTTTCCTTTCAGTACCATGCTTTTTATCAGCGTCTGATCTTTTTGAAGATTTCCCACTCATCTTCTTCTGAAACTTTGAGAAATTTCGGCCTGATTTCTCAAAAGTCTTCACAATCAAAGCCGCACTAGCCACAACCTTTTCGAGATCATCAGTGTCACTTTTAGAAGAATCAGTGTCTGAATGGTTTTCAGTGTCTGACTCTGACATTTGCTTTTTGTTTGAGAATAAAGCTACTGATGACTCACGCTGAGAATCCTTCATCAGCTCCTTTCTCTGAAGCTTGGATTCCTCATAGTATCGTAGGTTTCCATAGAGACTTTGTAAGTCCATAGTGTTGATCTT